TTTTTAGAAGTTAACATCTCGTCACCAGATTATTACTGTAAAAATGAAAGAGAGGGGCTGAGAGCATAGCTAAGTGGTACAGCACTTGCTTAGCATACCTGGTTTCCATCCCTAGCTACACACACACACACACACACACACACACACACACACACACACGCACGCACGCACACACACACACAGACACACGGTGGGGGAGAATGAATAGAAATCTGTTGGATATGAGGGAAGCAAGGGAATATTGAAGGATGCCTTTTTTTTGTTTGTTATTTTAAGATAGGATCTCGCCATCTTCCCAGGCTGGTCTCGAACTTGGAGATCAGAGGAATCCTCCCACTTCAGCCTCCCCAGTAGCAGTGACTTCAGGTGTGCACTACTATAACCTGCTTGAGAGAGATGTCTTCCTAAAGGCCATTTATAATCCACCCCATAATGAAATCTTCTCATTTGGACATCTTTGGTAATAAAGCTCCTTGTGTTGAAGTTTTGCTCCTCTCACACCTGTCAAGATAAGTCACATGTAGTGAGTATGTTTCGTGTAACTCAATGGTAGGGTTTTAGCTTGGATTCTAGCCCCACAGTTGGGCAGACAAAAGGCCAGAGAGCCAATATGGCTTGGTGGGTAAGAATTTAGACTCTGTAGTTTGGTTTCCCCCATTCTAGTCCTTGCACTCCCCCTGCAGGTCTCCTTACCTGGGCAGGTTCCTTACCTTCTGTGAGCTCAGTGTTCTGGGGGCAGGTGAAAGACTCAGGAAAACCAGTTTGAGGCTCTTACAAATAATCCAGATGGTGCTGGTGGGAGGTAGGGAGTAGCAAGTGGAGGTGAGAAAAGTAGTCAGCCCCTGAATAAATATTACAAGGACTTGATGACAAATTCAGAGTAGAGTATGAACAAAAGAAGAATCAGTGACAGCATCAAGGTTTTTGGTGTGAGGACCTGGCTGTGCCATTTGCTGAGATGAGTATACTTTTTATAAAGGAATGCTATGCTGTTAGTAGCACAGCTTTTTTATTTTGCCTTTCATCTTTTGTAGGAGATGGGTGGAGATGAGAGCAAGCAGAAGAGCTCCAGCAGATCCTTGGGCCTACCTTTTGAGGTCATGATTACTAGTCTTAGGGTTTTTTCTTTGACCTTCCTTTGACCACGCCGATCCTTAGACATGTGTCATCTTGCTGACTGAGACATCTAGTAATGCTGGATCTAGAAAGGGTTTATTCTGTTGTCTTCAGCTTCATTACCTAGACCTGACAGATGACCCTCTTTTTATTCCCCTTAATTGCCAAACAGGTTAATTCTTTTTCCTACTCATTCAATTATTATATGTGTCCCGAGATTCTGGAATGTGCATCATTTTTGTTTTCTTGGCTATAATTCAACCTCACTTCAATTAATATTTTTTTGTCAAACATTTTAACAGGAAAGTGGAGCAGAATGTTTCCCCTCGCTGTTCAAGGTTTTGCTATTTGTTTTAATGCCTCTGAGAGAATATAGTAGGGGTGCCCTCTTCAGTAATAGTCCTGTGTTCATGTGTGTGTGTAGTTCTTGACTAGGGTAATGGTGGAATTTCTCTCCAAACCTAGACACTATTGGGAGTGAAAAGAGAAACAGGGTGACACCAGAACAGCGAGCTAAACCAGGACTATACTGGGCAAGTCAGAATGTAGGGTCACCCCAGCCAGGCAGGGTGGTGAATGCCTGTAACCCAGAACTCGGGAGGCTGAAGCAGAAGGATCATTGAAAGGAAATGTAAGAAATCAGTTGTCTTCTTGCAGGATTGTTTTAGTAGCTGTTATTTCAGATATAGGAATAGATAGTAACATTAAACTTCAATAGCTTTGGTTCTTGAGGCACAGATAATATACAGGTAGCTTATATGCTACCTGAAGTAATAAAAAATGCAGAAATATTCTGTCGTTCAGTCAGTGTATGTATGTATGTATTTATTTATTTATTTTGGAGGCAGTTTGAGACAGTGTCTCACTATGTAGTTGAGGCTGCCCTTAAACTCACTTGGTAGTCCAGGCTGGTCTCGAACTTGTGACGATCCTCCTGCTTCAGCCTCCCAGCAGTGTCTAGGAGAAATGGACAGATTCCTAGATATGTGTGAATTACCAAAGTTGAACAAGGATGACCTAAAAATTCTAAATGACCCAATATCAATCAATTAATTGAAAATGTAATTAAAAACTTACCAACTAAGAAAAGCCCAGGTCCTGATGGCTTCACTAATGAATTCTATAAGACATTTAGAGAGGAACTACTACCACTACTGTTTAAACTTGTCAATGAAATTGAAAGGGAAGCAATACTCCTGAATTCATTCCTGTAAGCAGCATCACCTTGATACCCAAAGCAGAGAAAGACCCATCCAAAAAAGAGAATTATAAGAAAATCCCAATAATGAACATAGATGCAAAAATCCTTAATAAGATGTTGGCAAATAGAATGTAGAAGATAATCAAGAAGATCATACACCCTGACCAAGTGGGATTAATCCCAAGCATGCAGGGATGGTTCAGCATATACAAATCAATAAATGTGATGCAATATATTAATAGAACCAAGGAGAAAAACTATATGATCATCTC